AATAAACAGTTACAGAGGCTTCTGAATTTTGTACACGAATACATCACCGGGCCTGGCATGATAGCTCAATGGCTAAAATCCTTGCCTTGCATGTACCAGGATCCCATATGGGCGCTGGTTTAATTCCCATGGCTCTGCTTCCCATCAGCTCCTTGTTTGTGGCCTGGAAAAGCAGTCTAGGATGGCTCAAAGCTTTGGGACCCTGCACGTGCATGGGAGACTCGGAAGAAGCTCCTGGCTTCGGATCAATTCAGCTCCGGCTGATGCGGCCGTTTGGGGAGTGAATCGTCGATGGAAGATCTTCCTCTTGGTCTCTCCTCCTCTTTGCAAATTTGACTTTGCAATAAAAATAAGTCAGTCTTAAAAAAAAAAAAAAAAGAATGCACTAACATTTTTACATGTGAAGACCTAGAAAAAGCTGGGGGATCATAAATTCAGTAAAGATAAGTAATCTATTTGTCATCTCAAAGAATTCTTTAAAAAAGATTTACTTCTTTGAAAGGCCTGAGGGAGACAGAGAAAGAGACAGAAACAGAGAGAGAACTCTTCCACCTACTGCTTCACTCCCCATAGGGCCACAACAGCCAGAGCTAAGCTGATTTAAAGTCAGAAGCTGGAAGCTTCTTTCTGGTCTCCCAAGTGGGTTCAGGAGCCCAAATACTGGTCTATCCTCTGCTGCTTTTCCAGGTACATTAACAAGCAGCTGGAATGGAAATGGAGCAGCCAGGAACCATACAGGATGCAGACACTGCTGGGAGCAGCTTCATCTCTAACATTACAGCCCCAGACCCATCTCAAATAATGTTACCAAAGATCAAGAGGAATCAGAGTTGAGAAGAAACTCGGGGAAAAGTGTTAAAATCTGTGCAAAAAATCAGTAAGAAAAAAGCTGGTAAATACTTAAGCATCATTTTGTGTATCACTTCCTTATAGCACATCTCACTTGGTGCTGTGAACTCTATTTATGAATGCATCTTCCTCAACGGGTTTCACAAGAAGAATTGTGTCTCATTCATTGGCTCCAAGTTCCTTGTACCATGACTATGACTTACACAAAGTAGCAACTAAGAAAAGGCTGGATGATTTATCAAGGTAACTGATAAATCAGTAACTCCAATTCACGCAACAGTCGTAATTTTATTTTAGCTAATAAGTTTTCAATGATTTGATGAGTTATTTTTTTCTTAAATCTGTGAAATGATGGCATGGGTCTTAAGCTATGAGTAACATACTTTAAAGGTACCTAAAAGAAAATAGGGGACTGGTGCTGTAGCATAGCAAGTTAAACTGATTTCTGTAGCTCTGGCATGCCATATAGTGGTTGTTCCAGTCCCAGCTGTTCCACTTCCAACCCAGCTCTCTGCTAATACACCTAGGAAAACAGAGGAAGAAAGCTCAAGCCTTTGGGCTCCTGCAGACAAGCAAGAGTACCAGATGAAGCTCCTGGCTTTGTCTTAGCCCAGCCCTGGCCAATGCGGCCCTTCAGAGATGGCCATTTAGTCAAGGGATGGAAGATCCTTCTCTCGGCCTGCTTCTCCCTTTTCCTGAAACTCTGCCTTTAAAACAGACAAAAAAAAAAAAAAAAAAGAAAAGAAAAGAAAAGAAAAGGAAAGGAAAGGAAAGGAAAGAAAGAAAGAAAAGAAAGTAAGGTAGTTTAACTTTTAAAAATACAAATAGAAAAGGACTGATTTTGCTGCTGGATGACCCACAACTAGACAGTGTTGGAATGAACACAAAATGAGCATTAGTGTTTGTAAAACGTTAACTTGTCATCACAGAGCGAATGAAGAGAAGCTGCAGACTTCTGGCTGGTAAAGCTACAGTAAACTCACGTACAGTACTACCATGTCCACTCAGGGTCCAGACAGGTCGGGACCTGGCTCCGCACTCTGAGGAACAACTACTTGAACCTTAACCAACCCGGTGATGCTTCAAAAATACAAAAGGGCTGGTTTAGCCCAAGGGCCCAGCCCTCAATAGCCAAAATAAGAGATGGAACACAGAGCACAGTGGGTACTTGTGGATTCCCAACAGTTCCAATTCCAATGACGGTTATCCAGCTCTAGTTGACTGCTGAGGTAAGCTAGAGCCCTCGGACCTAATATGGCCATCATCAGTTGTTTTTACTGCTTGCAAGCCAAGAATGGTTCTTTATATATTTTTTATTGATGAAGAATGAAACAAATGAAGAATCAATCATATGACATGAAAAATTAATAATTTCAATGTTAGTGTTCATCAGTAATGTTTTTAACTGGGATCAGGCCACACCCATTTGATGACATCTTAGAGTGGCTTTCACACAGTACAGCTCACCAAGCCTGCAGTGTTTACTACCCGGTCCATTACAGAGAAAGCATGCTGCTTCTTGAGCTCAGCACGCTTCTCCCTGTTCTGAGCTGGATCTCTTTTCTTAGAGGCAGATCACTGCTTTGTCAGGCCAAATCTCTAAGTTTAACTGGTGTCCATCCTGCTGGCTATCAGGTCCCAAGTTACATCGCCAATAATTTATAACACAGTGCGATTCACTGGAGTGGTCACAAAGTAACAAATGACTTGCACACCTAATGTCATGAAAAGGAAGTAGGATACAAGTACAACCTTACAGGCCACACAGTTCAGACTTTTTACCAGACTGCTATACGCAGTTGTGGTCATCTTAATGAAAGGAAAGCAGACCGAAGTGAACCAATAATAAGGGCTTCAACATCGTATTACTAAATAAATACTACAAGAAATGGCATTAGTTGGACCAAAGAAAAAGGTGAAGAAGAAGAAAAAGATAACAGCATCCTACTGATAAAAATAATGTTCTAAGGTGATATTCCATGAAATAACTAATGAGTTAAATGTGGTTCTTCAAACTGCCGTTCCTATTTTAGGCCATTCACTAGGACCTTAAAAGACAACTTCTTGTCAAATATACTGCAGATCTGCAGCAGACACACCAAGGAATGCTTCTTTTTAAGAAACATCTGGCATTATTACAAGTTACCAAGCAAGGTGTGCTCTGTGGGGAGCTTTAGTAATTGTCAATAACTAAAAGGTAAACTGAATTTTGTAATTACACACTGCTCCACAGGACCAAACAGGGATAAAAAGGTTTAAATTACAAAATGCTTTTTACTTTTGAAAGTGTCTTTAAGTAGGGAATTTTAATTATTCCAACACAGAACTAAGGGTAAAGGGCTTTACTTCCCAGGGACTTCATTCACCTACGATACTCAGATGGAACTATCTGGATGTTTTACAACAAGAGAAAGCGTCTCCAGCTTGTTTCTTCCATGGCTACAACCCTGTAGTTTTAACTCTCCTAGTTGTTATGATTAAGAGATTGCCACAATCGCTCACCTTCATTTCTTCTTGAAGGTGGTCAGTGCACTTATAACTGTCCAAGACAAACTTTAAGAACCCAAAGCGAAACTTCATCATAAATTTAATCACAATTTTTACAAAGTCAAGCTACATTTCCAACAGGTAGATAAAATGTACAAACAGGTATGGCTTCCAAGTATTGTTACTTTTCTGTTGCTGAAGCAAAATACCTTTACTATTTCAAAATGTCCAACCCTTGAATAGTTTTCAATAAGTGCTTTGTGCAGAAAGTAATTTCCTATTAGTTGTCTAACTCTTAAAATACAGAATCCTTGAAGACAAAATGGTCTTTCAGTCCACCTCAACACTGCAATTAGTAATGCAAGTTCTCAAACTTGCTATGAATATATTATTAACCAACCTGAGATTTCCAACCTTGAAATTCTACTGTCTCTATTTCCCTAGGAATATCTTCCCTACCTTGTGAAGCACATACTAACAGATCTGACTCAACTTTCCCCACTCCTACATCACCTATGCAGAATTATAAAGTCAAGAATATACAACACTTGCAAGCCACTTCTACAACCCTGTATTAACTTTACCAGAATAAGCTTCTCCCCAAGACTCTCCAAAACTTACTTAAAAATCTGTAGTAGTGAAACAAAGGGAGCACAGCCCCCTCCCCTTTTCTGAACCATATGGCAGTAAATGGAAGTTAATTTATTATTATTATTTTTGCCAGCTCACGTCTATACACCGGCCCTACAGCTTTTTCTCTTTGTGCCCTAGCACTGGGCTACCCAGCACTTACTAGATAGGGCTGCCTGCTACTCTACCCCAGTCGTGTTTTTAAACCGTACAGCAAAGTACAGAACAGTTCCCCCAGACCATTCAGACCTCAGCACGGTCATTCACCAAAGCCAGATCTGGGAGGCAGTGCACGCCAGCAGGGCTCCGGGGCCGACCGGGAGCGAGTGCCGCTCTGCTGGGGTGACTGAGCAGCGAGTTTGCTGGCCGCAGCCGCGCCGGATCCGCCCCGGGAACTTGGTTACCCGAGCCCAGGGACGCGCCGAGGCCTAGCCGCGAGGCCGGGGCGGGCTCCAGGCAGCCAGAGCTTCCCGTCCCCCGGTCGCAGCGCCTTCCCGCCCGCCCCGCGGTCGCTCGCAGGCGGGGGCACTCGCCGTCGTCTCTCGGCGACCGGACGCGCCCGCTGGGTCCCGGGTCGGCTTCCCTGCCTCCTGCCGCCGTCCGCGGCCCGGCTCCGCGATCGCGCCGGGCCCTTCCGGGGCGGCGGGAGCGCTAGGCCGCGCCAGGGCCCGCGGTTCCGGGGCCGGCCGGCCGGGCCTCGGCGTCCGGTATCAGTCCCGAGGGCCGGGCTCCCGCCGGTAACGGGCCCCGCCGCCTCCCCTCCCCCTCCTCCGCCCCATGACAGTGCAAACCCTCCCGGCCGCCCCGGCCGCCCCGCCTCCGGCTCCAGGCCCAGCTCAGGGCCGCGGCCACGACCGTGGCGGCAGCGGCGGCGCGGCTCTCCGCCTTCGCTCGCTCCAGGACCCCGAGCTTCGGGCCCCGCTCGGCTCAGCCGAAGTCTCCGTGGCTTCCCGACCGCCCTGCGCGGCGCCCGGCCCCGGGCGGGGTAGGCCAAGGCCCGGGCGCTGGGGGTGGGGGCGGGGGGTTCCTCTCACCTTCATGTCGGGACATCCTAGTTGAGACGGTGGCGGCGCGGCCCCTCCCGGGCTCCGGCTGCAGTGTCCCCCGCGGGGTCCCGGCGCTGCCCGCGCCGGCCGGCCGACTCCCACTCGACTCCCGGGCTCGGCCGCGGGGGCGGGGTGGGCAGGGGAGCGCTCCCGCGGCGGCGGCGGCGGCGGCGGCGGCGGGGAGGCGGCGCGGGGTGGGAATGGGGCCGGGCCAGGCCGGGGCTGAGCTCCTCCAGGAGGCGGGTCCGACGCGGCGGCTCCGCCGGCGCCCGCCGTGACTCGGTCACTCTCGGGCCCGCCGGCTCCCGGCAGCGGCGCCGCGCTCCGCAAATCCCGCTCCTCCCCTCCCCCGGCCCACCCCCCGCCCCTCTCCCCCGGCTCCCGGCCGCCTCCTCCTCCTCCTCCTCCTCTTCCTCCTCCTCCGCCTTCTTCCGCCGCCCGCACGCCGGCCCCGCCTCTCGCTGCCAGCGCCGGGCCCAGCGGCCGCCCGGAGGCCCCGCGGCCGGCGAGCGCGGCGGGGGCGGCGCGGCACTTGCCCGCGCTCGTCAGCAGGCCGCGGTCGGCCGCCCGAGCCCAGCCCCGGCCTGGCTGCTGCTGCCGCCGCCGCACGGCGTGTAGGGAGGAAGAGGAAATGTCCTGCAGCCGGCAGTCGCTGCTCGCTCTCACGGCGATCTCCGGCTCGCTGCCCCCGACCCGGCCCGGGTGCGCCGACTCCGGGAAGTGCGCGCTGCGGCCCCTCAGGGACCCCGTCCGTCCCCGGGCGCGTGGCTGCCGGGCCGGGCCGCGCGCTCCGCCTGGGAACGTGTTAGTGTTTCCAAGCCGGCAGCCCCGAAGGGAAGGGCGGCCGGCTCGGGTCGCTGCGCGGTGTTCCCCGGCCGGGTGACTGGGCGGCCCGGGGAGAGCGTGGACACACGGAGCGAAGCCGGGAGGTGGTCGGGCCTGGCTGCGGCCTGAGACACCGACTCCTCGGAAACCAGCTCTCTGCTTCTCCGGCTCGGCGCCGGCCACTCCGCCGCCGGGCACCCGCTCAAAGTTTGTTCCAGCGCCCCGGCTCGCCGTGAAGACGCTGCCCCCCCCCCCCCAAAGTTGGCGCTTATTTTTGTTTCCTGCCGGTGGACTACTTTTCTGTTTTGTCTGTCTTCTATTTGCACCTTCTTATTATCAACTTTGGTGTTCACGCATTTTTTAATTCAGCAGATTACTTGTACTGAACCTTACCACGTGGTCGCTATGGCGAGAGTGAACCGCGCTTTGGAGCAAAGGCCGGACGTGGAATTGTGTTTCTCATATCCTCTGTGTAACCTTGGACAAGTGATTTAACCTTGCTGAGGTTTTGTCTTGTCTTTGATTTGCTTGTTTGATTTTAGTGGCTGTTTCGATGTATGCTTTGCTGTTTGAAGTTGCTCTGGGTTTTTGCGTAAAATACAGCCGTTCCTGGGCTAAATCTGGATTGGATTCTAGGGTTCTGTTTGCCTTGAAGTTAATTTTATCATGCCCACCGTTCACTGGCTTTGTCACCTTGGGCAAATGACTTATTTCCTCTCTTCCCTAACATCCTTATTCTTTTTTTTTCTTTTTTAAAGATTTATTTTTATTTTTTATTGGAAAGGTGGATATACAGAGAGGAAGATCTTCCTTCCAATGATTCACTCCCCAAGTGAGCGCAACGGGCCGATACTATGCCGGTCTTTCGAAGCCAGGAGCCTCTTCCGGGTCTCCCACGCGGGTGCAGGGTCTCAAAGCCTTGGGCCGTCCTCGACTGCTTTCCCGGGCCACAGGCAGGGAGCTGGAAGGGAAGCGGGGCTGCCAGGATAGAACCGGCGCCCATATGGGATCCCGGGCGTGCAAGGCGAGGACCTTAACCACTGCACCACCACGCCGGGCCCAACATCCTTATTCTTAAAATGGGCGTTGAGTGAGATGTTTGGGAGGATAGGTGGTAAAATGTATATAAAATATCTAGCACAGGGCACAGTGAAAAGTGTTACAGAATTTTATATTGCATTTGTCTTTAAGGCACCACCTGCCATCAAAGCTATTTGAGTATTGAGTATTAGGTTACTTCAGTGTGCTGAGGGACCTGTATTCGGTAGCAACCAAATGATCGTAAGCTAGGATTCAAGTAAGGGCTTTGTCACTAGAAATGTGAAAGCTCATTGAAAACGGAACTAAAAGACAAGATTTTGGTCATGAGTTGAAATCATGGTACACTTTTTGCATTAATGATGTGAAGACCTCGCATGGAGCTTTTGCCTAAATTCTCTCCGCGTAGCTGATTACAGGACACCCAGCCTAGTGGTAACTGGAGTTCGGTGCCTGTGGGCTTAGCCTGTGTTAGTGCCTTGCTCAACCATGTGCCGTCCTGGCATATGTGACCCTGTGTATCAGGAGCTCCAGAGCCTCAGTGTCTTGAACTGTGAAAGTGCAGATAACAACGCATACACCCCCATAATCTCTGTGACTACAAATGAGTGAACGTCTAAATACATAAAGAGTAAGGCGTTATCAGTAATGTAGGCAGCTAGAATTCTGGAGCAGATAAAGTACAGAGGCTTCATTTGGGTTGTTAACAGAAGCAGTATAACTGTAAACCTCAAGGGAGTATAAGACAGTTGTTTTAAAAGTTATCAATTCTTTTGAGAGATCTGCCATCCGCTGGTTCACTTCTCCAATGGCTGAGGCTGAGGGGGGACCAAAGCCAGGCACTCAATCCCTGTCATCTAAGTGGGTGACAGTTGAGCCATCGTTGCTGCCTTCCAGGGAGCTGGGGTCAGAAGCCAGAGCTGGGTAGTCAAACCAAGAACAGATGAAAGATGTGGATGTTTTAACTGCTGGGTTAAATGCCTGCCCTGGGATAGCAGATCTAAAGTTACTGTTTTCCTTCAGGTGAAAAGCAAGAAAATGTAGGGAATAACGATTTTTGTGTTAAGCAGGAATATTTTGGGTTTTCATGACCTGCCTTTAGTTAGAGGCCAGGCCTTTGAATCGAAACCTCTTTGTTAACGTCTGGCCCTTCCTCTCCCTGCGCCTTGTGTGTGGCATTCTGTGGGCAGTGGGCCAGGCCAGCCTGTCGTCCATAGCATGGGCCAGTTGGGTTCTCTATTCTATAGCACTAGCTAATGCACGTAAACGTTGATGCAGTGTAAGGTCTAAGCTAGTTGACAGTGCTGGGCTGGTGTCAGTTTCCTGGCATTCAGTGTCCCATTGTTTTGTAAGATGTCCCGATAAGGATGTTTTCACAGATGCTCCCTGCGTCTTATTTCACAGTTTAAAAAAAAAAATTTAAATTGCTGGGATGAAATGGCTAATGCTTAGCTTGGAGGGGCTATTAATACGAGGGACACTGAATTGAGGCAAGAACTTTGTGAAATGAGAATATTTTACATCTTTATTGTGGTATTGTTTATGTAACTGGATGTTTGTCAAAACTCAGAACTATTCCCTAAGGGAACCCGTCTCACTTCTGTGTGACTATTTTAAAGATTTTTAAGCTATTAAAAGAAAATATTAAAAAATATTTTTTTAAAAAAAGAGCAAGTAATTGTCACCCCATCTCCTGTGGTCTGTGAAGTAAGATTGAACTTCCCTTTTAAGTTTGTTTTTAGAGACTTATTTATTTGGAAGGGCAGAGTTAGAGGGAGGAAGAGAAAGAAATCTTCCATCCCTTGGTTTGATCCCCAGATGACTACAATGGCCACAGCTGGGCTGGGCCCATCTGAAGTCAGGAGCCAGGACCTGGAACCTTCTCTAGCTTTCCCATGAAGGTGCAGGGGCCCAGGGACTTTAAACATCCTCTACTGCTATTCCAGACACATCAGCAAAGTAGAGTATCCAGAACCTCAAGCAGGTGCTCTTTGACACCACAGGCAATGGTTTTACTTACTACACCACAGCAATGGCCACTGTTTTTTTTTTGTTTGTTTGTTTGTTTTTTAATTTATGGGGTCTGGCATGGTAGCCCAGTGACTAAAGTCCTCACCTTGCATGTGACAGGATCCCATATCGGTGCTGGTTCTAATCCTGACTGTTTCATTTCCCTTCCAGCTCCCTGCTTGTGGCCTGGGAAAGCAGTTGAAGATAGCCCAAAGCTTTGGGACCCTGCACCTGTGTGGGAAACCGGGAAGAGAAACTCCTGCCTTCTGGCTTTGGATGGGCTCACCTTCAGCTATTGCGGCCACTTGGGGAGTGGACCAGCAGACAGAAAATCTATCTGTCCTTCTCTCTGTAAATCTTCCTTTCCAGTAAAAATAAACAAATCTTTTTTAAAAAAAAGATTGCGTTTATGTGAAAGAGTTAGAGGGAGGGACAAAGCCATCTACTGGTCCACTCCCCAGATGGCTTCAATGGCCAGAGCTAGGTCAGGAACTTCAATGGTCTCCCGCCCTCCATGTCACAAAACTATTCCCTGCCATGTAAGGTTTTTTTTTTTCATTTTTTATTATATTTTGGACAATCTTTACATAGTTAATTAGGGTAAAAAAGTTCAAGGGCTACAGGAAAGTGGGTAAGACTATTGTTTCCTTCATGTATCTGAGGTTAAGGGGGTATTGAGGGGGAATACCCACCCAGTCTCCCACCGACCCCAACCATGTAAGATTTTAATATGTTTTTTAGCATACTGACTTTCCCTTGTGCTGATATGCTATGTACCTTTTTGTGTACAGTGATTCTTGACTCTTGGCCTTTGCACATATGCTTTCTGCTTAACAGGAGCATAGGAAATTCAAGCTATAGTTGAAATTCCCTCTTGTATTGTAAGCCTTTCCTGTTTCCCCTACACACACTGATAACTTCCTAACTTCCTTTTTGGTGCTCATTCATGCTATGTAATATTTGTCTATTTATCCATATATCTATCCGTCTCAAGCTCTTTTGGGGTAATGACCACATGATTCTGTCTCCAGGATCCAGTAGGGTGGAATGAGTGTGTGAATCAATGATACAGAGGTAGGAAAGAGCCTAAAGTAGCAGTTTATGAAGCATGGCTCAGAGTTCCCAGGAGCTTTCCTGGGGGGCGGTGAGCAAACAGAACACCTCCACAGGAAGCTGACAGTAGAATTCAGCTGTCTTCAATCAGG